ACTCTTACCTAATTTTTTCTTTTTTTTTTTTTTTTGGACGAGTCTGGCTCTTTCGCCCAGCGGCCTGGAAGTGCAGTGCCAGAATCTCCGTCCCAGCTACTGGGGAGGCTGAGGCAGGAGAATGGCATGAACCCGGGAGGCAGAGCTTGCAGTGAGCTCATTCCAGCCTGGGTGACAGAGTCAGACTCTGTCTCAAAAAAAAAAAAAAAATGTGGATAGATTTCCTGGTCTGATTGAGAAACATCTTCTATATACAAGTGGCCAACAAATATATCAAAAATTGCTCATTATCACTGATCATCAGATAAAAGTAAATTAAAACCACAATAAGATACCATCTCACACCCGTCAGAATAGCTATTACTAAGAAGTAACAAAACAAACAAACAAACAAACAAAAAACAGCCAGGCACGGTGGCTCACACCTGTAATCCTAGCACCTTGGGAGACCAAGGTAGGCAGATTGCTTGAGCTCAGGAGTTCAAGACCAGCCTGGGCAACATGGTGAAACACCATATCTACTAAAATACAAAAAATTAGACAGGTGTGGCGGCGTGTGCCTGTAGTCCTAGCTACTCAGGAGGCTGAGGCAGGAGAATTGCTTGAATCCAGGAGGCGGAGATTGCAGTGAGCTGAGGTCGTGCCACTGCACTCCAGCCTGGGTGACAGAATGAGATTCCGTCTCAAAAACAAACAAAAAACAAACGAAAAAATACCAAGCAACCAACAAACCAACCAACCAAACAAAAACATATTGGAGGGGCTGCACAGAAAAGGGAATGCTTACACACTGTTGATGGGAAGGTAAATTAGTTCAGCCATTCTGGAAAGCAGTTTGGAGATTTCTCAAAGAACTAAAAATAGAACTACCATTTGACCCAGCAATACTATTACTGGTATATACCCAAAGGGAAATAAATTGTTCTACCAAAAAGACATACACTCATATGTTCATCACAGCACCATTCACAATAGCAAAGACATGGAATCAACTAAGGAGTCCATAAATGGTGGATTGAATAAAGAAAATGTGGTATATACACAATATGGAATAATGTGCAGCCATAAAAAGGAACGAAACCATGTTCTTTGCAGCAACATAGAAGCAGCTGGAGACCATTTTCCTAAGTGAACTAACATAGAAACAGAAAACCAAGTACCGCATGTTCTCACTTATAAGTGGGAGCTAAACATTGGGTAAACATGGACGTAAAGATGGGAACAATAGACACGGGGGACTACTAGATGTTTTGGGGGTGGGGCAAGGGTTGAAAAACTATCTATTGAGTATTGTGCTCACTACTTGGGTGGTAGATTCAATTGCATCCAAAACCTCAGCATTACACAATATGTCTTTGTAACAAACCTGCACATATACTCCCTGAATCTAAAATAAAAGATTTTTTTTTTAAAGAAATGTCTTCCTTTTAAAAAAAGTCAATTTCTGCCATAAGTCAACCTTAATAGAAATTAATCATATTAATGGTCCATCCTTTACATTTTCCATTCAAGATATCAAAAAGCTTTTTGGGAAAGGATTGAGAGTTTGCCCCATATATTCCCTTCGGAGATTCCCCACCATGTCAGATGATAACAACAACAGACTCTGCCCAGCAAGATGACTAAAGGCAATATCCAATAATGGCACAACTAATAACAAGAATGAGGATAACTGACATTTATTCAGGGCCTACTCTCAGTTAACACAACATTCAGCTCTTCATTATATTATTACATTCAACCAGTACAACAGCCCTGTCTCTAACTCCTGTATTTTTGACTCCTTTATGTGCTTCTGTATTCATGGATAACTGTGCATCTGAGGAAGCCACAGTAAATAGGTGACTTTTCAAAGGAAAATTTATAATTAAATTTTATTATGAGAAGAGAAACTTAATTGGAGGCATCTGATGATCCAGTGATTCCTTGGGTTCTTGTTCTGTGACCCAGCCCTACCCACTTCCAGAAAGGTCTATCCGGAACTTCGTGGACTTTTCCCACTGTGTATGGAGACCTGGATCAAAGGTGCTACAAGGGGTGTCTTTTCTCCCAAAGTCTCTACCAAGTCTCCACCAACTGAAAGAAAGAAAATGCAGGCTTGCCATCTACCAGAACCGACTGCCCCAGTGTCTGTGTGGTTTACATCTTGTAGGTTAAGAGCCTTGAAGGAGAGTTACTGAGATACATGTAAGCTTCAAAAATAGATATTTAGGCCAGGCACAGTGGCTCACACCTGTAATCCCAGCATTTTGGGAGGCCGAAGTGGGTAGATCTCCTGAGGCCAGGAGTTTGAGACCAGACTGGCTAACATGGTGAAACCCTGTCTCTACTGAAAAATACAAAAATTAGTCAGGCGTGGTGGCACATGCCTATAATCCCAGTTACTTGGGAGGCTGAGGGAGGAGAATTGCTTCAACCTGGGAGGCAAAGGTTGCAGTGAGCCGAGATCGGGCTATTGCAGTCCAGCCTAGGTGACAGAGCAAGACTCTGTCTCAAAAAAAAAAACAGAGATTTTTTAAAAGTCAGGTTTATTGAGGTATAATTTACACAGAAACATTCACCTTTTAAAGGTATCAGATTTTTAAATGTGGCAGAAGGATAGAGCTAGAATGCCATCCAAATAGATCAGGAATGAGCCCCAGACCTGCATGTCTCAAAAGAGAATGAAGGCATTGGAATGGGAGCAGGTGCCTCAGGGAAGGTACTTGCATCGCTTCCATGACCACTGGCAGACATGAATTGAACACACCGTACCAGGGGTCAAAAGGGCCCTTAAAAACTCAGTCTAAGCAGTAAATGGAGACTGCCCAGGAGCTTGGTAACCTTGGGAGACTTGCCAGACCAGTCTTTACATCAGGATGAACAGTTCTCACATAGCATCTCAAGCCCACCACGCCCAGGGAGCCTTGGTTTGTCCATCAGTGGTGGCTGACTGCAGCCCTTTTGCAACTAATTATAAAAGACAAGGAAACCATGGGTCACTTTGAGGTTTCCTTTATGTTCTTCAATAACCCAACGACAATCCCCTGGAGGGCAGGATTCTTGCCTTGTATACCTTTTCCCAAGAAATGTCTGTGGGTACTGCTGCTACCAGTGAAGACTGGGCTTTCCCATCTCCATTCCTTGTTCTTGTGGCTGGGCCACCACAAAGATGATGTCTTTGATCTCTTGCACTAGCAACTCCCACCACAGGTCTGTCATTAAAATAACAGGCTGATTATTTCACTCTTGCCTCTTTCCCTGGCAGTTCTGTGCAGGGCTCTTTTGGCCCATCATTGTGCGGTGCACTTTGAACAAATAGGAGAGGCTGTTGCTGGAGGCATTATCTTTTGTAACAGCCAAAGTGGCAGCTGCAGGGAGGACTTTTGCTCATTGGAGTGGAATATATTTCAGAGCATTAACAGAGGCTCTCGTATTATGGAACCCCACACAGAGATTACAATGGATTTTCTTATAATAGTCAATGAAGCAAAGATACCACCTGCCCATACATGAGGCCCACAAGGGAATTTGGTCTGCCAAGAACAGTAGGTATTGGCATGAAATTGTGTGTTGGAGAAGCACTTAAGTCAGAGACTTTCACGATTATTTGCTCTTGTTCTGCTGCACTGGCTCACCAGAATAAAACCTGCAGAAACGTAAGTGGTCTTCACCATTTATTTCATTGGAAGACCTTGTAGTTGATTCCATCTGGAGCCCCTGGAGATGCTCAGAAAAGCTTTTGGCTTCTCTGCAAAATTAACTCCCAGACCCATAAAGGCAAAGAAGGTAATCCTTTTCAGTGATGTCTAAAGGAGAAGGGTTCTTAATTCATTTCAAATGCTTAAGAAGGCAACAGGGAGGGAGCATTTGAACTCCGCTGTGTAACATGCTGTCGAGGCATTTGCCTTGGGTTGGAGGATGCCCACTACATTAATCCAATGTGATCTCATTTGATTAAATTTTTTAAAAATATAAAGAGTTGAAATAAAAATGTTGGAAGATTCTGCAGTTATAGAGGCCGTAAGAAAAAAAAAATGTTGGAAGATTTTCTGTTTCACTGAACAGCTGTTTTTTATATGCCTTTTCTCTAATGTTGTAAACAGTCTTATTCAAAACAGTCACAACAACAGATGCTTTATTAGAAAGGCTTTGCTTGAGGAAGCAGCTTCAGGCAGTGACCAGTGTTTAGTATGCTTTAAAGTGGTGTTTACAGTGCTTTAAGGTCGCATTTTCATGAAGTTTGTTAATATTTCATTTTGTAAATCCAAAGTCTGCTTATAGAGTATTAAGATTTATTTTATTTTATTTTTATTTTTTAAATTTTTTCCTGAGACAGAGTTTTGCTCTTGTTGCCCAGGCTGGAGAACAGTGGCGTGATCTTGGCGGTCGACTTCAACCTCCGCCTCCAGGCTCAAGCGATTCTGCCTCAGCCTCCTGAGTAGCTGGGATTACAGGCACCCGCCACCGCACCCGGCTAATTTTTTGTATTTTTAGTAGAGACGGGGTTTCATCATGTTGGCCAAGTTGTTCTTGAACTCCTGACCTCAGGTGATCCACCCACTCGTGCTCCCAAAGTGCTGGGATTACAGCGTAGCGCGACCGCGCACGGCCAAGATAATTTGTTAAATCAAACGTGGGAATCGAGGCATCCAAGTGGGTGTTTTTCCCTTCGGGGAAGTCATCTAAAGAGACTTTCCTCCTGACTCAGCCACTGCTCCCGCACCCTCGGATACTCACTGAAGACCATGAGGGTAGAGATTGTTAGTGATTGTCAGTGGTCACCATATCCTATTTGATTCTCACTCCTGGGCACGCAGAAGACACTAGTCAGCCCCCTCACTCGTAGGCAGGATCCGAGGATGAGTTCTGGTCAACAGAATTGTGTGTGAAGCATGTGGGATCGAGACTATCCCGGCCAACACGGTGAAACCCTGTCTCTACTAAAAATACAAAAATTAGCTGGGTGTGGTGGTGGGTGCCTGTAATCCCAGCTACTCGGGAGGCCAAGGAAGAAGAATTGCTTGAACCTGGGAGGCTGAGATTGCAGTGAGCCAAGATTATGCCATTGCACTCCAGCCTGGGCAGCAGAGTGAGACTCTGTCTCAAAAGCTAATAATAATTTGTAAGTCTCCAATAACTTAATGTAAGAGGGTAAGAGGGTAGAGAATGTGTTTCCTCCCTGACAATGTGTGAGTGTACACATATAAATCTCTCTGAGAAGGAGAGAAAGAGAGAGGGAGAGAGAGGAAGGGAAGGAGGGATGGGGAGAGAGAGAAAGAGAAGGGGAGACAGAGAGAGAGAGAGAAAGAGAGAGAGAGATTTCATTTAGGGCTTTGTAAATCCAAAGTCTGCAGGGTAGTTTAGCACGCTGGAAACCCAGGGAAGGATCGCAGTTTGACCCCAAAGGTGGTTTGCTGGCAGAATTCCCATTTCTTCTGGGTAAGTCAGTCTTTTCTTATTAAGGCTTTCAACTGATTGAATCAAGCCTATCCACGTTATGGACAGTCATCTACTTTACTCAAAGTCTACTGATTTAAATGTTAATCTCATCTAAAAATCTGCCCAGAAATATCTCAATAATATTTGGCCAAATATCTGAGTACTGTGGCCTAACCGAGTTGACACATAAAATTAACCATAATACCCACAATCTCCTCATTTTATATATGAGGATATTGAGATTCAAGGAAAGCAATTCAATTGCTTGAGGTAAAATAACCAGTCTATAGCAGAGCTGGGACTTGAATCTATTGTGAATCTAAAGCTCTTGATTTTCTCCCTACACAACATAGTCACTCACTGCCAAGGGTCTTTTCACAGGCCAACTTTTACTTCTTTTTTTCTTCTATACAATCTTTTTTTTAGAGACAGGGTCTTGCTCTGTCATCCATGCTGGAGTACAGTGGCATGATCATATAGCTCACTGCAGCCTTGAGCTCCTGGGCTCAAGTGATCCTCCCACCTCAGCCTCTTGAGTAGCTGGGACTACAGGCATGCATTCCTACACCTGGCTAATATTTTTATTATTCGTAGAGGCAGGGTCTCTCTATGTTGCTTAGGCTGGTCTTGAACTCCTGGACTCAAGTGATCCTCCGACCTTGGCCTTTCAAAGTTTTAAGATTACAGGCATGAACCACTGCGCCCGGCCTTCTAAAATAGCTTAATCTTATTATTATATCATAAACCATAAAACTTGGCTTCAATTTTAACAGCTGGCAACATCATTTGTGCTCATGTAAATATTTTTTGAAGGACTGATGATATGCTACGGGAGACATTTGAAAGGAACAGAATTTTCCAGAGCTATGACTATCAGTACTGGTAGTTTTCTGTTTTTATTTTAATTATTATTACCATTATTATTATTTGTATTATTTTGAGACAGAGTCTTGCTCTGTTGCCCAGGCTGGAGTGCAGTGGTGCAATCTCGGCTCACTGCAACCTCTGCCTCCTGGGTTCAAGTGATTCTCGTGCCTCAACCTCCCGATTATCTGGGATTACAGGCGGCTGCCACCACTCCTGGCTAATTTTTTGTATTTTTAGTAGACACGGGGTTTCACTGTATGTTGGCCAGGCTGGTCTTAAACTCCTGACCTCAGGTAATCCGCCACCTCAACCTCCCAAAGTGCTGGCGTGAGTCACCATACCTGGCTCATAGGTGTGAGCCATTGTGCCCAGCCTGTTTGAATTATTTTTGAATAGATAATGTATGTAACAGTGTTAAGTACCTTCACACTACGTTGTTGTGCAACCAATCTCCAGAACTCTTCATTTTGTAAAACAGATAATTTATACTCATTAAACAATTCCCATTTCTCCTCCCCTTAACCCCAGGAAACTGCCGTTCTACTTACTTTCTTCTTTTTTGAGATGGAGTCTCGCTCTGTCACCCAGGCTGGAGTACAGTGGCTCGATCTCAGCTCACTGCAACCTCTGCCACCTGGGTTCAAGCGATTCTCCTGCCTCAGCCTCCCGAGTAGTTGGGATTATAGGCACCTGCCACCGCGCCTGGCTAATTTTTGTAGTTTTATTAGAGACGGGGTTTCACTGTCTTGGCCAGGCTGGTCTTGAACTCCTGACCTTGTGATCCACCCGCCTCGGCCTCCCAAAGTGCTGGGATTACAGGCATGAGCCACCCTGCCCTGACTTCTACTTTCTGTCTCTATGAATTTGACTACTCTAGGTACCTTATGTAAGTGGATCATGCAATATTTGTTTTGTTTTATGACTGCATGTGGTTTTAATACATTTATTTACTCAACATGGTTCAAGATGCAAAAGAAACTAAGGTGATACAGTGAAAATTCTTATTTGCATCCCCATCCCCAGCCCCCAATTTCCCTTCATCTGACATAACCAATCCTATAAATTCTTTCAAATATTCTATATAACCATTTGAATTATGTATTCTTTTTTCTTTTTTTTAACACAAGCTGTTTTGCACCTCACTTTTCCACCTTAAAATACATCTTGGAGATCGTTCCACAGAAAGTGCTCATAGTGTTTGAAAGTATTAGAAATATTTAACCATATAATATGCAAGTAAAAATAGGAAAATCATAATACTTAATTCCAAGATGTTGCCACAAATCAAAAGTATTCTCCCAATCCCTGTGGACAATACTGGTGTCAGCAATCCTCTCTGTTACCTGCTAGTTTACCTGCTTCCTAAGCGTTGCTCTGGTTTCTTAGCCAAGAAGAGCCTGCAGATATCTTTTGCTTCCTCTGTGAAGTTATCATGCTGGAATTTGACCTCGTCTTGCAGAGTTCTTTGCTTTAGATCCTCTTTACTGACCTTTTCCTTGTAATCTTTGAATGGTGTTCGTCCAGCAACCATTTCATAAATGCTGCATCCCATGGCAAACCAGTCCACAGGATAGGAATAACTTACCTTTTCCATTAGGATCTCAGGAGCCATGTAACCATTGGTTCCAGCCTGTAACATCCCAAACAAAAAACAAGACAACACAGAACAAAGACAATAAGGTGAGTGCAGCAGACACTGCTGACTGCCTACCTAATACATATTCTCCTTGTCTTCCCTTGTTCAGGGAACCCTATTTGTTTGGAGTGGCAATGTGTCTAACCTATTCCTTTTGCTGCTTTCCCAGCAGCTTTGGGTGCAGCCAGGGGAGGCCATGAGATTCATTTTGGCCAATGAGATAGAGTTGGTGGCTAAGGTCATCAAGAAAAGGGAAGCCGTAGCTGCTCTTGATGTGGGAAAATCTGTTACCTCTCTTAGGCTCATCACCTCATCTTTAAGATGAAAAGTTCAAGTGGATGTCTGTAAGATCCCCTAAGCTCTGCCTTTTTTAAAGTTCACAGATAATAGAAAATTAGATGCATATGATTTTTTTTAAGGTTGAGCACTTTATTACTAATATTAAATGTTCATATATTGTCTAGTCTATGATGTTTCTTATTCTATGTGCCATGTAATAACATTAACATCACACACACCTCTGCCTGCCTGTCTCTGCACTGAATAATTAACACTGTCATTTTAATTGAGGAAATTCCGCACACGCATGAAATTTCATTTTGCATGCATGGCTATGTATTACAGGCACACTTCTACTGACAATGTATGCCAAATGATCATTAGATTAAATATATATACATATTCACTATATATACATACATATTTATTTCTATATATGATACATATATATTTATATATGCTTGTATGTATGATAAATTACACATAAAATTTACTATCTAAATCATTTTGCAGTGTAAGTTCAGTAGTGTTAAGTACATTCTCACTGTTGTGCAACCAATCTCCAGAACTACTCATCTTGTAAAACTGATAATTTACACTCATTAAACAACTTGCCATTCCTTCTCCCCTCAACCCCAGGCAACCACCATTTTACTTTCTCTCTCTATGAATTTGACTACTCTAGGTACCTCATATAAGTGGAATCATGCAATATTTGTCTTTTTACGGCTGCATTGATTTTAATTCATGTATTTACTCAACAAATATTTAATGAAATCTGCAACACACCTTGCAATTTTAAGGTATATATTTACTTCAGATTTGTTTTGTTTTGAGATGGAGTCTCGCTGTGTCACCCAGGCTGGAGTGCAGTGTCCTGATCTCAGCTCACTGCAACCTCTACCTCCCAGATGCAAGCCATTCTCCTGCCTCAGCCTCCCAGGTAGCTGGGATTATAGGCGCCCACCACCGCACCTGGCTAATTTTTGTATTTTTCGTGGAGATGGGGTTTCACCATGTTGGCCAGGCTGGTCTACGAACCCCTGACCTCAAGTGATCCTCCCGCCTCAGCCTCCCAAAGTGCTGGGATTACAGGTGTGAGCCACCGTGCCTGGCCGACTCGGACTTTTCGGAAAGCAATATGACAGAGAGCAATGGGAAACAAAAAGTAACAAACTGTTCCTGTCTTTCAACCAGATTATCTAACTTTGGAGTATGTACCTCAAAGAGACTCAGAAGAAAGAAAAAGGAATCTATATTGAGATGTTCATAACTTCATTAATTCAGAATGGTCACAAGCTGGAAACACCCAAAGGTCCATCAATAAGATGATAAACCAGAGTCTATTGTTAATATCAAGAAATTTATATATGTAATGATTGTCACCCACTGATTACAACTATGCATTTCAGTACTTCAGGAAAGGTTGGAAAAGTTGGGTGCAGTGGTGTATGCCTGTAGTCCCAGGTACTCAGAAGGCTGAAATGGGAGGATCCTTCATCCAAGGAGTTCGAGGCTGTGGTGCGATAGACAAACCACAGCACTCCAGCCTGGGTAACTTAGTGAGACCCTGTCTCTATGAAGAAAACATTAGGAAGTGTTGAGCTGTGCATTAGGTGTTTTATTTCTAGTTGCTTAAGTATTTTTTAATGTAAGGCTTTAGAAATATAAAATTTCATGGATAATTTCCACATGGTTCACAACAACGAAAAAACATAAACAATCCAAGTACTAATGAAGTGATTGGCCTGAACAAGAAAGTTCTGGAAATGACTAGGGTCTAACGGGTGTGCATGAGTCAGCATGGCACTGCTGTTTTCAGAGAAGCTGGTGTATAATTTGGGTGACCATATGTTCCGGTTTGCTTGGGACAGTCCCGGTTTACATCTGTTGCCCTGGCATCTTGTCCAGTTTTGCATTTGTCCAGACAAGAGTCCTGTAGGCACCTCTGAGGCCCAGGATACAGTCTTACTCATCTTTGTCTTCAAATCCAGGCGTTTATCACAGGGCCTCATCTGGTGCATGCCATGTTTTTAATTAAATAACCACGAAGACGGTGACTAGATGTTTTCCATTCATTATGCAGAAAACATTTGTTGAGTCATGCCCCGCAATGAGTTGCAGGGATACCGAGACCTGTAAGGCCTGGCCCCCGCCCTTGAGGATTTAGAGACTGGTAGAGACAGACAGTCAGAAGGTTGATTCAATAGAGTGTGGAACACGTGCAGGGGGGCCCACGGGGTCGGTGTGTGCATGTGTACGTATGTGATTGTGTATGTGTGATTGTGTGTGTATATGAGTGTGTGTGTGTGTGTGTGGGTGTATGAGTATGTGTGTGTATGTGAGTGGGTGTATGTATATGTGTGTGTATGTGTGTATACATGTGTCGGTGTATGAGTGTGTGTGAGTGTATGTGTATGTGCGAGTGTGTGTGTGAGTGTGGTGTGTATGTGTATATGTGAGTGTGTGAGTATGCATATGTGTGTGTATGTGCATGTGAGTGTACGTGAGCATATGTGTATGAGAGCATGTGTGTATGTGTGCATGTGTATGTGAACGTGTATGTATGTGTGCCTGTGTGTATGTGCATGTGAGTGTGTGTGCGTATGTATGTGTGTATGTAGGTGTGAGCATATGTGTGAATGTACATGTATGTATGTAAGCATATGTGTATGAGAGCATGTGTGTATGTGTGTGTGCATGTGTGTGTGAGTGTATGTATGTGTGTGTGTATTTGAGTGTATGTATATGTGTGTATGTGAGTGTGTGTATATGTGTGTGTTATGTGTGTATGTATGTGAGTACGTGTGAGAGAGTGTGTGTGTGTTGAGAATACTTCACTGAAGAGCCACAGTTGGCCTGAATATGAGGGAAACACCTAGAAGGCTATCCAGGTAATGAACATGTGCAAGAGATGGAGTCAGAAAAAGTGTAAGGTATTCAGGGAGCTTTAAGGAATTTGGTGTTTCTAGAATACATGATCTGGGGGATGCCATGGAGGGAGGGGAGATGGGATTGAGAAACTGTATTCTTAGGTAGCAAAATCTATTCCCAGTCTCCCTTTTCCCTTGTCTCCCTCTATCACAAAATGCCAGATGACTAAAGACAACATCTCTCCCAGCCTCCTTTGCACATAGGATAGTGATATGAGATATATTTGAGAGGTGTGCAAGCTGAAGGTGCAAAGGCTTGGAAAAAAGAGAAGTGAGTTTACTCGAAAATAAATAAAAGATGTAAGATTGATTAAATGGATGGATAGAGAGGATGGATAGATCGATGGACATTTGATTAAGCAAATCTAGTAAAATGCTAATGATATACAAGGAATATTATTTGCCATAGAAAGGAATGAAGTACTGGCCGGCAGTGGTGGCTCACGCCTGTAATCCCAGCACTTTGTGAGGCTGAGGTGGGCGGATCACGAGGTCAGGAGTTAGAGACCAGCCTGGTCAACATGGTGAAAACCCATCTCTACTAAAAATACAAAAAATAGCCGGGGGCGCCTGTAATCCCAGCTGCTTGGGAGGCTGAGAGAGGAGAATCGCTTGAACCTGGGAGGCAAAGGTTGCAGTGAGCCGAGATGGCGCCATTGCACTCCAACCTGAATGACAGAGCAAGACTCTGTCTTGGGGGAGGGGAGGATGGGGAAGAAAGGAATGAAGTACTGATATACATGCTTCAACATGGGTGAACCTTGAAAACATGCTAAATGGAAGAAGCCAGTCACAAATGACATATACTGCATGATTCCATTTATACGAGGTGTCTAATATAGGCAATTCCATAGAGACAGAAAATAGATGAATGGTTGCTTGGGGATGGAAGTGCAGAGTAATGGAAGTGACTGCTAAAGGATATGGGATTTCTTTTGGGGGTGAAGAAAATATTTTAAAATCGATTGTGGTAATGTTTGCACACCTCTGTAAATGTACTAAAAACCAGTACTTTTTTTTTTTCCTTTGAGACATCTGTCGCCATCTGGAGTGCAGTGGTGCAATCTTGGCTCACTGCAGCCTCCACCTCCTGGGTTCAAGCGATTCTCCTGCCTCAGCTCCTGAATAGCTGGGACTACAGGTGTGCACCACCATGCCCGGCTTTTTTTTTTTTTTTTTTTTTTTTTTTTTTAAGTAGAGACAGGGTTTCACCATGTTGGCCAGGCTGGTCTTAAACTCCTGACCTCAGGTGATCCATCCTCCTTGGCCTCCCAAAGTGCTGGGATTACAGGCGTAATCCTTTAAATGAATGGTTTTTATGGTACTTAAATCGTATCTCAATAAAGCTGTTAAAATGTCAATGATAAACTCTAGGTAATGGGTATTTCAAAGGTGCTTGTGTGAAATTCTTTCAACTTTGCTGTATGCTTGGAAGTTTTTATAATAGAATATGCAGAAGGGAAAAGGAGAGTGAGGGAAGGGGGATGTGATGCCCAGCTGGCTGCTGGTTCATCAGGCACAAGGGACTCTTCTGGAAGGGACACAAGGAGGAAGCACAGGAGAGAGTAGACAAGGGAGATGCAGCTGCCCAGTCCTTCCCATCTCCCGTTTCCATTGCTCAAGGATTATCCGAAGAGCTGTATTGCCTGACATGTCATCCAGTTGATTAGCAGCTGCCCAGGAAATAAGGCTCCATACCCTACAGGATGATATTTCATCCAGTTCTGAAAGTGGAGGGGCAACCCAGCCTAGATGTGCTGCTGACAGAGAGCTGTCCAAGAG